CGGTGCCGCCTTCCAGATGGTGCGCAGGTACTACAACGGCCGCATCGGAAGCTGGCAGGACGACGCGCCCGACAACATCGCCATCGACTTTGTATCCGACGAACTCAACGGCATCAGCCGAGATCTCCGCCAACCCTACATGCTCGAACGCGAGATCACGGATCAGCCCGGTACCGTGCGCACCCGTGTCCCCCGCCAGTTCACTTCGTGCTGGGAGATGATGTTTGAAAACGCCATCTCGCGCATCTTCCTCGGTGTGCACTGGCGCTTCGACGCCGCGGCCGCAAAGGACATCTTGGTGCCTACCACGAAGAAAGATATCTACGCCGTCGACGACGCGGGCGCTGCTCTGTTCAAGAACCCAGAGGATATCAGGTACAAGACCAGGGGTACGAGGCAGGGTATCGAGGGCGACTACCCCATCGGTGGTGTGCCTCTGGGGATGGAGATTGCGAATGAGATCTTCGCCAACGGACTCAAGCCTACGCCGCCCAACTTGCAGCCCATGGTGCCGCAGATGCCGCAGCCGCCGCAGGATCAAAACCCGGTGCCGGAGGAACCGCCCAGGAAGAGGAAGGGGTTGGCGGAGGCGAAGAATGAGGATCAGGTTCCTATGATGGATGTGGAGCCCTAGATGGAGACATGTGGGTGTGTGGAGATTGGGAGCGTTCTCGTTAGTTCAGAACTTCAGTCCTTTCCTGTATGGCACAATAGTATCGGAGATAGATGTAGATTGCAAAATACACATATTGTTTTACTATCATGGTGGTGCTGCACCGGTTGCTCAAAGCTTGATGTCGTGAGAGAAGAGAGGAGGCTGGGACGTGTAGACGGCCCTGCCTGGAGGACTCTGATAGGCTGCACAGGGCCGATCCTGGCCCTATCTGCCAAGACTGCCGCGATCTACAGATGCTGCAGAACCTTCCCGATCGGGTAGCTAGCCCTACCTGGCCAATCAGCTTCCTGCCCACGGGGACAGCAGACCCACAGAGCCCTCCCCGCCGCAATCAACAGCCTTTGTAGAACTTTCCTAATCGGGTGTCTGGCACTGTCTGGCCAATCAAGCCCCGTTCCACAGGAGCAGCGACCCACAGTGCCCTCCCCACCGCAATCCACGGTTTTTGAAAAGACTTCCTAATTGAGTAGCTGGCCCTACAGACAGAGCCCTGGTTGGTCCGGCAGGGACAGAGCCCTTCCTGCTGTGACTGATAGCCAGCCTCAGTCCTTCCTGAAGTTCATGCCGGGCGCGCAAACCTCCGATCGTCGGACCAGGTGCTATGTTCTATTTCTCATAGCAGTGGGATGTTTCCGCCACGCTGCGAGCGTCGCCAGGAAGGCCACACCACTGATAACCGCACAAGCTACAAGTGTCTCGTTGAAAGCATCTGAGTATGTCTGGCGAATAGCGAAAACTTTGTTGGGAGGAAGGGTCCGCATAGACTCAGCAAGTGACTCCAACTGTGCGCCCTCTACAATCAGCGAATCGAGAAGCTCTTGACGCTCTTTGATGCCCAGGATAGCTGTTGACGCTGCAATACCAACGCTACCCCCTAGCACACGCACTTGCGCCATCAGGCCTTGTGCGACTGCGGTGTCGCGTGGCTCCGATTCAATGCCAGCTAGTAGAGTCGAATTGCTGACTGTCAATCCGAAGCCCAATCCGACAAAAACCTGTAGACCATAGGCTCGAGCTTGCGGGGCGAAAGTGTTGTCGAGTGTAGACAAGGTTGCGGTTCCAATAAGCATGAGGGCAGCACCAACAACGTTGACCGCAAACGTGTTGTTCTTCTTACTCGACGCTGCTCCAGCGAGAGTCGATCCGATGGCAGAAGAACCAAGCATTGGTAGCAAAGCAACACCCGACCCAAGAGCACTCTTCCCGTTAACGACCTGGAACCGCGTTGGCAGCGAGTATATGATGACAAAGTAAGGGAAGCCTATCAACAATGTCGTGGCGAGTGCTGACATGTAGACTCGGTTCTTGGCTAGTCGCATTGGGAAGAGCGCAGCAATCGCGTCAGGCCAACGTCTTGCAATGAACCACTCCCAGACGAAGAGCGCAGCGAAGCAGAGCACACCAACGACGAGCGGAGCAACGAAGAGGGCAGACGACCAGATGGAGCTGTTCATGAGGATGTGGATGCCGGCTTGCTGGAATGCAATGACGAAGGGCACGGAAGCAGCGACCAAGAGAAGGAAGCCTAGGAAGTCGATCTGTTTGAATCTGCGACGACTGACGCCGCGGATGAGGGCGTCGTTGGACCAAACCAGTACGAAAAGGATCAACGGAATGATTCCGATCGGGGCATTGATCCAGAAAATCCATCGCCAGGATGTGTAACTGGTAATGACACCGCCCAGCACTGGCCCCAGGATTCCCGACATCGCGATAATGGCTCCTGCCATTGCGCCCAACATACCGATCACGCGCGGCGGGCTGATCTCGCCCAGTATGACGAAGCCCACTGAATACAAGCCTGAGCCACCAACTCCCTGTAGCGCACGCATAGCAATGAGCTGTTCGAGGGATTGAGCGAAGCCACAGCCGACTGAAAAGGCGAGAAAGATGACATAGGCGGCGAGGTAGGCGTTGCGGCGACCGATTACATCGGAGAGGCTTGCGAAGATGGCGGTGCAGCCAATGTAGGCGAGTGTGTAGGACAATGCGATCCAATTCACCTTGGATAAGGACTGGAAGTCTACCCCGATTGTGTATATAGCAGTTGCGATGATTGAGGTATCCAGGAACGATAGGAAGAGGCCGATACATATACTACGCGGTGCGCATTAGCTAATTGATCATACTGGTTTTCGCGGTACCTTTACCTGATATACAAACACACCAACTTCCATGTTGCAATTCCAGGCGCTGTAGTAGGACTGGAGGTGGTCTCGGGTCCAATAGTCGACTGAGCCCGCTTTTCTTCATCGTCGGTGATGTTGAGGGGTTCCAGAGCCATTGGCGTACTGGAGGGTTTCTCGACGTCCATGTTGGTGTGTCTGGGTAGTTCGCGACGAAGGTTGTGGGGTAAGTAGTCGCGTGAACTAGGCGAGTTTGCTGTTTACGTTCCTCGACGTGGAAGGGGGACAAAGGTCAGGCGCGTCCTAGCACGGGATAACCAAACGCAGAAGTGACGATACACCCGCCCTCTTATGCTGTTCACTTCATCATATTCCCTTCTTGATTCTCTATTTTAGTGCGTGAAGCGACTCGAGGTGAATGCATTCTGTGCCGCGTGGTAGCATTGCTGCGCCAACGCCGAGGTATGTTAACGATGCTTACGGCCGTTGTCGTTTGGATGAGAGATCTTGCAGGGTCGTCATTTACCCGCAGCCGATCTGGCCAAAGTTGGGGCGTACGCCTTGCATTCAACGTTTTCCCGTACGTCGCTTATGGCTTCCTAACTGGCTCTTTACTGTCGCACAGCTTACATTGTAGCAACCATGAAAAGCAACTAATGCGCCAGTAATCTTTTGGTGGTCAGAGAGGTGACGCTTGCATGTCTAATTCGATTCGGCTCGCTCAGAACTTCCAGATTCCTACAAGAGCGTTTTGGCGGGGTAGCGGTGGTGGTGATTTGTTGTTCGGATTCCGAAATGGTGGTTCGACTTGTCAACGCGCGCGCCAGGACGAAGCACATGACAGCGTCTCGACATTTTACTGTGCGAGCTAGCATTGCTTTTCTGGTAAATACGAACATTCCTGTACGTTCAAAATTGTCTGATAGCGGCCTGTCAGGCCGTACGAATGGAGAGACAGTGTATTGTTCGCGCGATTTAGTCGTCAACGCTCTTCTTCCCGCCTCCACTTCAAATATGGTATCAGCTCTGCAGAGGTAGGGGTACGAAGTCAGTATATGTCTCACATGCACTTCGTACAGTCAGAACTTACCCTTGTCGGTCGGCACAACTCTTTTCCATTCGGGCTCAACACCGCTCGTAGATTCGATGCCCCTCAGGCGGTCGCGATAGAAGATGCGATAGCTGTCAAGCGCATACGCACCCATGCCCGGCAGGTGCGCAACCTCCCAGCCTTCTCTATCGTCGTCAGGCCCTAAGATCTCTCCTGGCTTGACATCTGCACCACATCCACGGTCAGGATAATGTAACCTCCTGTACCTTCGCTCTTTACACGGAGGAGCGGAAAGCCAGGCTTCAGCCAGTGCTATAAGGCGGGCCGCTCGAATCCGGTGGAGGCCTATGGGCTGCAACATTGTTGTCAGATCTTCGAGAGATGCGGTGGAGAGCTCATTTGGCGTTGGATAGGCTACGAGTAAACTGAAGAGCACTGGACGTGCCATTTGGCCCCGAGTCTGGTTCCATAGGATAGCTTGGACTACCAATGCATACAAGCTGTCGCACACACGCTCTTGAATGAGGCCATATTTTGCAGGCTGGAGCTCAAAAGGAAAACCGGGGGGTGTTGAGATGACGACTGGGTGGTCTTCGGTATCTACCCGGGTGGGCGTCCTTGCTGAAGGCTTGCGTGTTTTAGGTGCGGCATTGATCTTCCGCTTCGCTCGTGGAGTGTCAGAAATCGTTCGACGGCTTCGCAAAGTAACTGCCATAGTCAAGCATCAGGTTTATCGTTTGTATGGAGATCACTGAGCAGTCAGACATGCATCTCAACCGGCATACTTCTGGGAACCAGAGGCTCTGTGCGTGAAGCTCGCAGCCGGTTCCATGACGCTAATAGAAAGTCAATGATGCAACGCGTCATTGAAACACGGCGTCCAGCTAGATGGGCCCATTCTGACACTGAACGGAATATGCTTTACCATTTTTGTAGGGTGTTTCAAAAGAATAAAGGAGTTCCTGTCGAAACGCAGCTTCCCAGCGCAGAAGAAGAAGAATGAGGCTCCTGGCATGATAAGCCTCGTTCTTGGAAGCCGCCCCACCACCCGCGACCCACTCGGCAAGAGCCCGGCACCCATCGGAATCGATCAAACAGTCAACGCTCTATCCAATGTGACTCTCGAAAACCCTAACAACAAACAAATATGTCTTTTAATGACGACCTCGACGATGACGACACGCTCGTATCCAGCCCGCGCATCAAATACGAAGGCGAAGACACGAGCCCTACTACCGATCGCGAATTGAAGGCTTGGTATGCGTACCCAATCGCAGCCGAAGTCTTCGCTGTAGTCGCAGTCGGTACGTCATAGCCTTCTCTTCCACCCAGCCCACGCAACCACCACCATACACATGTATCGATTTTCGCGTCTTACTTACGAGTTCAAGGCGCTTTCCTCCCAGTCATCCTCGAGCAACTCGCACGAGAAAATGGCGTCTTCTTCTCCGATCACTCAAAGCCATGTGTCGATCATACCGCATCCGGAAAACTCCGGATACGCGACGATGCAGACCAGAAAGCCGGAGGAGACTCTGAGCAATGCATGGTGAGATATCTGGGGAGGGACATGTCGACGAGTAGTTTCGCCATGTACACGTTCTCTACGGCTGTATTACTTCAAGCAGTGGTCTTGATATGTTTCAGTTCCTTCGCCGATCATGGTAAGTCATGGTAGTCAATATCTCACATCTTTAACAAGGACTAACATATTGCCAAGGCCCATACCGCAAGAAGATGCTCATGTTCACATCGTACATGGGCTCACTAGCCAGCTGTCTTTTCATCTTCATCTCACCATCACTATACTACCTCGCTCCCATTCTAGTCATCGTCGGAGTTGCGAGTCTAGGCTGTTCATTCGTCCTGCTAAACGCATTTTTGCCACTGCTTGTCGCCAATCATCCAGATAACAATACGCTTGGGAAACCGTCATCTTCCGACTCCGCATCAGACGTCGAGCTGGAGTCACTGAACCCAGCCAATGGACCATCTTCCACGCACGCCCGCTTCGACCCCGATCGGTTGAAGCGAGATCTGGAACGAAGCGCGCAGATCTCTAGTAAAGGCGTGGGATATGGCTACATGGCCGCGGTCTTCGTCCAGATCCTTAGTATACTGATCATAGTTCTCTTCAACAAAACGGCTCTGTCGAAAACGTCGCCCAGTCTCTCCATCCGTATGATTCTATTAATGGTCGGTCTCTGGTGGGCTATATTCTCCATCCCAACACTGTTGTGGCTACGTCCAAGACCAGGTCCACCACTACCCACACAGACTACGCAGAGCTTTGCCGGAGGAAGGTCATCGTCAAAGATAAGAACGTTTTTGTTCTACACCTCCTTCTCCTTGCGCAGCTTCTACGGTACACTGCGAAGAGCCATAAAGTTACGGCAGACGCTCCTTTTCCTGATATCGTGGTTCCTGCTGTCGGATGCCGTGGCGACCATCTCTGGAACGGCTGTCCTCTTCGCACGCACCGAGTTGCACATGGGCACCATTGCTATCGCGCTGCTTTCCATCACATCTATCGGATCTGGCATCGTAGGCGCTTTTGCATGGCCGCATGTGCAACGGCGCTTCGCACTACAGCCCAAGACCGTACTACTGTGTTGTGTAGCGGGCATGGAGATCATCCCTCTCTATGGCTTACTCGGATACATACCCATGTTTAAGAGCTTGGGATTCATCGGTTTGCAGAAAGCATGGGAGATCTACCCCATTGCAGTCATTCATGGGATAGTCATGGGTGGGATATCTTCTTATGCGCGATCTGTCTACGCGCCTTTGATACCTGAGGGCAGTGAAGCGGCGTTCTTTGCGCTGTATGCTGTCACGGACAAAGGTAGCAGTGCATTCGGCCCAGCTCTTGTCGGGTTCATCGTTGATCAGGCGGCCACGATACGCCCGGCTTTCATCTTCCTGGCGGTCTTGGTGGTTTTGCCAGCACCGTTACTGTGGCGGTTGGATGTGGAAAAAGGGAGAGAAGATGCGCGCGCGATGGCAGACGGAGATGCCCAGGGACGTGGAACGTACGAGAGGGTTCGTGAAGAGTAATGAGCCGACTACTGAAGTCGGTGGGTATGATATTCATGTTCCGTAGATGCTAGTACGCCGCCCAATGCTGTCAACGCCAAAATGATAATGATCACACGCTTTAAGCCCTCTCTTCCATCTTCGGGCGCTTACCGTCCCGCTCGTGATCATCGCCGAACCTCTTCCTCTCGCCAAGTGGCTTCGCGTTTGCGCCAGAAGGGCCCTCTCTATCCCGATCCCTTCCGCCATAAGCATCAGGTCTGAATCTCTCGTCGACACCGAAATCGCCCTTGTCTCTCCGCGGCCGGTCATCACCGAAGTCACCCCATTTGCCGGTATCTTCGGTCTTCATGTCCCTATAGCGCGTCCGACCCTTTTTGCCCAGTTTCGTCATGTCTCTGATCTGCATGTACTCGGGAAGAATTTCGCGATTCGTCTCGTCTTCGAAGCGCGCGTTCATGAGGTTCCTTCGGTCCACGCCCAGTTCCTTGAGCTCGTCTGTGAAGAAGGCGCCCTTGTGGAAGTACTTCTGCATGTACTGCATTTGGCCACGGTCGCCCTTTTCTTCTTGTTGCTTTTCGATGAAGGCGCGGTCTTCGGCTTCGCGTTCGGCGGCGGATAAGTTGCGGCGGCGCTCGATCTCTGCGCGCTCTGCTTCGGCTTCTTCGATCGCGAGACGTTCGCGCTTAATGCGCTTGAGCTCGCGCAGCTTCCAGGCGGCATATTCGGCGTCGGGGTCAACACCGTCTGTGTCGTCGATGGCGTTGATGTCGGCGTCTTCCACGTCGTCATCCCAGTCTTTCTTGCCCGCTGCCTTTTCCGCTATGCGCTGCTCGACCTGCTCCTGTACAAGCGCTCTGTTTTGCTCCTGCCGCCGCGCTTCCTCTTCTGCCGCTATCTCCTCTGCTGATTTGACAGGTGCGACTTTGTTCCGCTCGTTCTTCTTCAGAAACACTGGGCGCAGTAGTTTCTTCGGTGCCTCTTCTTCGCTACTTGACTCCTCCTCAGAAGACTCTTCTTCACTGCCGCTGCCGCTTTCACTCCCGCTGCCATCTTCGCCGCCCTCCTCTTCCTCGCTTTCTGTTTCGAACTCGTCTTCTAGCGCCTTGCGCTCCGCCTCGGATTTCTGCCGCGATGCAAGTTTTGCTTTGAGCGCAGACTTGGGAAACGACGATGCGATGGGCGCGGGCTTTGGTTTCGCAAAAGGTTTTGGCTTTGGCTGTTCCTCCTCCGACTCTGATTCTGAGCTCGAGCGCTCTTCGGGTTCAGGTGCAGCTGTTGGTTTGCCAGCGAATTGGCGCGTTCGCACGGGTTGCGCGGTGAGTTTCTTGGATTTTGGTGGCGGCATAGTTACGGTTTGCAGAGGTGGGACGGAGTATAGAGGAAATGTGCAAACCTGGAGTGAACCGTGAACGCGCTGCCGCGGCTCTTGCAAGCGGCTTGGCGCGCGTAAGGCTGTACGACACACTTCGTACTGTACCAAGTTTCCCAAAATCACTCCGTGGGCAACAACCTACATGTGAACAAGTCTACGAACGACTGCAAACACTTTGCGCCCTTCTCATACATGATATATCTTAGTTTCACTGTCCTATAGCCGTCAGTTGCGTTGTTATTGATTTTATGCGCAAATAGACATTGTGTTTTGTCTTCCTAAAATGCTACTTACACATTTCCCGCCCACTCAGATCCCCCACCCCACTTAGGATCGTCAACCTATGCAGCTTTTAGGGATGGATTGATCGGTTCCATGCCATAGACTGGTAGTTCGTCTTAGGTTCTGGTACCAAATAATCTTAGACATCCAGGGAAGGATATGTACCTGGACTCACGCACCGAGCTTGAGCATGATGATATCTACCAAATTGTGTACTACCTGGATAGCATATGAACGTCCACTTAGAATATCTTATATCCAACTCATGAACCTACGCTCATTCTAAAGCTTTTAGAGTCAAATCCAACGGTTTCACGTGGATCTAAAACCTTGCAGAAATGATCAGGTGATCTCACAGTCGCCAGCAGGCGTCATATGAACCACAAGAGAAGGGGATTAACGATGTCATGTCGTTGAATGGCACTAGGAGAAATGTATAATGTAAGAGTGAGGTGGTTGTACTTTATTTTGGATTATACACCCTTTGAGGGATTGCTATTCTAATGCATTGATGCTTTGCACACAATAATCCTTGGACTCGGGCCTACGCAAGTCGGGCTCTCGGAACGCCATCATATCAAGCCCTGGAACACGAACACATAAAGTGTCGATCAGGCAAAAGACTACATATACAATAACGCCTGTTGATGCAGTGGTACTGTAAGGAAAGTGCTGATCAAATCTATTGATCAATGAGATGCTCACCGAAAGAACCACCCAATGCAATGCACGCTCGAACGCAGCAAATATCATGTCCTCTGGACTAAAGGATGGGCAATCAATGTAAGCCCAGAAAAATCGTAAAGTTGTTACACGAAGGTAATGAGTGGCCGTTCACCTGAATACAGGCTGTTGAGGAACAGGAAGTTGGTTGAACTGGTTGGTCTCAGGCCATGCACTCCGGTCCATGTATGGTAAGAGGCCAGAACGACGGTCAGTCATCGGTTGACCCAGAGGCTGATATTGCATTTGGTCGTATCTGATGTTCCTCGCAGGGTTGTGAATGGACGTCTGAGGTGGAGGCACAAGTAGTGTCTGCACGGTACGGACCGGTCGATAAGGAGACTGGCGCTGATTAAGGAAATGGGATGGCGATAATTGTCTCGATCCCGTTGCCGGGAAGGCGCCTACTGGAGAGGAACCTGCAGACTGAGGGTAGGGACTAATTTGACGAGACTGATCGGTAGAGGGCGTGTAGTTGTGGGCGTAAGGCGGTGGGGCCGACGATGTTGGTGTGCTAGTCGGTTGCTGCCATTGGACGGGCGGGGGGTACACCATGGCCATGGAGCGGCCACCGGGAACTGGTAGCGGAAGGTCTGACCAGTTCTTCATCTGGGCCGGCGGCATCTGCTGAGGTGGAGGTATCGAAAGACTTGGCAGAGGGGGCAAGCGATTCACGGATGGTGGTGGCTCGAATGACCTATTGACGGGCGTCTGCAGGGTCGGAATTGGAGGTGCATTGCTGTAGGGGCCGGGTGCAAATCCATGGGCCTGTCGCTTCATTGGGGGCTCGATACTGTAATCAGCGCTGCGTTTGCGTTGAATGGGTCCGAGTTCCGGAAGGGCGCCGATCGGGGATACGGTGGCCGACGTGGCCTGTGGTTGCAAAAGCGGGGTATTGGAGAATGCCATGTGGCTCGGTGAGTACATCATCGTAGTCGGTGGTGACGTTTGCTGCTGGGTTGGTGGTGAAGGAACAAAGTTCTGCGGGAGGCCTAGCATGTTCTGAGGACCGACTGGGCTTACAGCACCGGATGCCGGAATCTTGGATGCTCGATCGAAGAAGGTTCCGAACTTGCCCAGAATACCGTGCCACTCGTTCCACTTCTCCTTTGATGTGAAAAGACTGTATCGCATGTTGCTGAGGAATTCGACCTCCATGATGTGCACCTCCTGTACCGAAATACCCGAGACCTCGGCCCATGTCTTGTTCGTATACGTGTTGTCGTCGAGGAACTTGTTGCCGAGCATGAGAGCTACAGTCAATAGACGGTATTCGCTGCCAGGTTTTCCCTTGACTGTGGGGTTGGTCTGCTTGAGCCTGTAGATGAAAAGCAGTGCCAAGAGAATGACATTTTGGGCAACCTGTGTGGTCGTCAAGATGGTTGCTACCCACTTCCTGAAACCAGTTGTAGGATGTGCGTCGGGAACGAGCGGCTGCATCGGCTGGCGTGGTGAGGCGGTATCAAGTACTTGCTTGAGCGTGGCCGAGCTCTCGAACCAGAAGAGGCATGTCACCTGGATGGATGGTTAGTGGTTGCCGGTGAGATGATGGGGCCTGGAATTACCTCGGCTGCTAATTGAGGAAGACCCTCTTGTGGCGTGCTGATGGTCGGTGGAATCTTGAGGTTTGGTGATATGGTGTACTTCTTCCTCGGTGTCTGAGCCATCTCTTGTGCCTGTGGTTGTTGCCTTGGCGGGCTGGGACTTCTGGGAGCTGCTGATCTGGAGTTGCCGATTGCAGGCAGTTGGTAGCCGTACTGATGCCCTGCACCTTGGTTCGGCGGTAGTGAGACCACTCTCACTGCTGAGCCGGGAAGTTCTGGAGGTGTGAGGGGAGCTCGGGGGGCTTGCTCATAGCTGTGAGAGAGACTGGGGTAGGGAAGGTGCATCGTGGCGTCGAGCTTGGAGGAGCTGCGAGGTGCCGTGGCATACAGGTTGAAGGGAGGCTCCCGCGGCAGGGCGTGAGGCATTGGGCGAGGGAGCTGTAGCTCGAGCATGTGGACGGCAAGAGGATGGAGACGGTGAGGTGAGGTGAGTGGTGAAAGGCGGCGAGGTCAATGTAAGCAGGCGGTCATGTCCAGCAACTATTGTTTGCACGCTATCCTCTTCACTCAACCTTGGTTTGGCAGGAGGATGTCGACGACGGAGAGGTTGGCCTGTGGACGGGGAGCAGGAGCTAGGCCAATCAAAGCCAGGCTATATCCGGGACACGGCAACGACGCTTGCAACTAGACTTGTAGGAGGAGAGGGTTTGGCAAAGGAGAGTGCAGAGGGACACAATAAAGAGACGTCAGGCCCGGTGAGCGTCCTGGCCGTGTGGTGCTATACCGGGAGCGGCTTGGTGTTGGGTGTGGGTAATGGTGGTGAGTGATTGTGACTGTAGGGAGGCGGATTGTCGGGGGCCCGCACGCTGGCATGGCAGACATGGCTTGGGGCCGTTGGATTTGAATAAAACATAGGTAATTCACACACACGGAGTCGTGAAGGCTCGGAAGGTTCCAGGCAGGAGCGAGCAGGGTAGGAGGAACGCCCCAAGAGGCTGATCCAGGACCCAGAAGGAGAAGCCGCGCTCTGACATCAACCGCGCCTGGAAGGAGCTAGGGGCGCACGGCCGCCAGCACAAAGCAACCGCGACCGGGGG